AGAAATAGCACTGATACGATGATACAACAGATCTATCTTTACTTGCCTACTTACAATACTATAAGACCACTGATTAAGATACTCAGAATACTGAACAATTTCAGATTGATATCGTTCAATTCTTTCATAACACTGAACTTTAGTTAATTCAATATATTTATCATATATTTGAGGACCTCCAATTATTTGACGAACATGTTCATACCATGCATCAAGACTATCATAATGACGTAAAATCCAGAAGTTGAGAATATCATGCTGTTGAACAATATTAGCAAAATCAGGAAAATCATTCATATGATTGGAATGAAAAGAGTAGAGGTTTTGTATAAAAAATTCACCAGGGTTGGCTCTGATACCAAATACCAGAGTGTCTGCTTAGATACCATATCAAGACCACAATTTGCTCTTTGAAGGTATTCCCGAACACAACAGCCTCTCTCCTTTGGGCTTTCAAAAGTTCAAGGGACTTTTATCACAAGAACAACTTATGGCAAAGCTATGGACATCTAAACAATCACGCAGTTATGAGGATCTCTCGGCCTTCCCTGGCGAAACTAAAAACTTAGAATTCCATAGGGATAGAAGCAAACTTGGAATTTTATTGATTTTTTCCTCGATGATCCCTTACAATGAAAACTGGCCTCTATTTATAGAAATAGAATTTGGCCCTTCAGGATAAACGACCCTTCAGAAAAGTAAACAACAAACGACTCTTCGGAAAAGTAAACAACAAACGACTCTTCGGAAAAGTAAACAACAAACGACTCTTCTACGGGGATTCTTCCATATCAACATCATTCCAGGCCCACTGGTAATCATCATCTGGGGTATCTGATGGTGTGGTAGCTGGATCTGTAATGTTAAGCATTTCAATGTGATGTTGATGTGCCTGCGAATTCTTCCTTTTATTCTCGATGCTTTTCCATTCTGTTCTATTTTTGAATTTATAGGAAGAAACTGTTGAGGATGATGAAAAATCCTGTGATGTTCCTGTGTTATGATAAGGGTCTTGGGAATCTTGCATTACAGTGTCATTCATTTTGTCCTGATACTCCTTCTTTGCTCGTTTGATTCGGGTCCAGTGAGGATGACTTGAGTGGTAGTTCCATGATCCATAGTGACCAGGCCATATTTCAGGAGGAATGCATCTGTTTTCCTGAAATATGTATCTCTGTGCTTCCTCATACTCATCATCAAGGTCTAAAATAGTATGATCCATTTCTTTATAAATTACTGCACTTGGGCAGGACTGGACTTGGTTATTTTGCAGATTGCAAGGTCTATGGAAATGGAAAATAACATATTTAGATTGAGTTGAAAATAATCCAGACCAATATGTTAATGGTCGAAACCATTGCAGGAAAACTTGAAGGTTTGGATTTAATGGCTGATTAAAGAAAGGTGATTGAAATTCCATAAGAATATGATATTGATGGCAAAGACACCAAAAATACCATAACAATGATTTTGGAAAATCATCATGTCTGGCAATGAAAATTTGACAGAAAGGATATTCAGGATTAGTTCCAAAGGGATTTAAGATTGATCCTCCATATGAACTGAATATTTCAAATTCATATTGATTACGGATTCTTTCAATATCCTCCTTTTCCCATGGATGAGGAATTTGGTGAATATCTGGGGGTTCAGAACAAACAGGTGAGAACATGAAACAAGGTTGGTCTTGTTGAGGCAAAGGTTCTTTCCTTGAGAAGAAATCAGCAACAATGTTCTTTTTCCCTTTTATGTTTTTGACATCAAAAGAATATTGGGAAAACCATGCTGACCATCTAAGTAACTGAGGATTAGGGACAGTGTTTTGTTTAAAGTGCAGCATTTTAGGAAATGACCCCATATCCATTTCAACCAAGAAATGATGAGATATAAGGAAAAAAGAGAATTTCTTTATACCATTCTTGACTGCAAGGATTTCTTTGAATGTGGAATGATAATGTTGTTCGGAAACTTTGAATTTTCCACTAGCAAATCCACAACAATGCTTTGTTCCCTGTTCATCTTCTTCAAGTAGTACAGCTCCCCAATATTTATCACTGGCTTTCAACAACATGAATGTCTAGTGAAACCTCAAACTCTTGGCTTTCAAAACAAAAGAAAACCCAAACTAATGACCCTAACGTAAAAGAAAAGGACTGAACATCTGATTATGAGTCATAAACTTCAGTTAGAGCAACAACTGAAGTTTTTTTCAAGAACAATTGCAAACACTCTGCTACTGTAATGAACTTGCCATGCTATAGCTTAACATAAAACGCAGCAAATGAACCCTACCATTTAGTGAAACGTACAGTTAAACCCAAACCATGAAAACAAATAAGATACTCAGAACACAACTCACCACACACAAATCATACGCTTCAGTTTCATAACAGGAAAACCACACGAAAGTTGACAGTTTTTTGGTTCACAAGTTTTCAGCCACACAAATTCCAAAACACAGCTTTTAGTTCATAAGTTTTTCACAAACGAAGAGACAAATTCCCGATGAACATGAAGCTGGAGTGAAGGGACAATAAGCAACGAAAACAATTGTCCTAAGCAAACTCAGGGAATTCTCGTTGCCTTCTTTTCTCTCTCCCGTAGCTCCCTAGTTTTGCTCTACTCAGCCGCCACCCCTTTCTTATCTCACTTTTTTTCTGTTTCAGCTGTCACTCACTTCATTCCCTTTTGTTGTCCTCTAAACCTAGCCGCCACACTGATTCTCCCCCCTTGCTCTTCCCCTTTGCTAGCCTTTTATAGCAAACCAAAACCCCCAAAACCCTCAACTCAATGGCTCCGATAGAAACTCCCTCTTGCCACTTATCATTCGGACCCTTGGATTAGTTCTTCCATCTTGATTCTTCTTAGTTCTTAGATGCAAGCCAAGTGGTTAGGGATTAATATGATCCGATGGTGAAGGAAAAACAATGAAAAAAATGGTGGAAAAAGAAAATGGAACCGAGCTGTATTTTCGCTTCTGTACTTCGCGTATGGTTCTGATATGAAACTGAGGAAAGGCTCGGATCGTGTGCAGCTTAGGATGCGTGAGCTTGCTTTCTTTTTTTCCTTTTTTTTTCTTTCTTTTTTTTTTTAACAAATAACGAAATAATTTTATCAACCAAAAATGAAAATAAAACCAGATTAACCAAATTAAATGAAATGCTAGAAAAAATTTTTGATTTTGATTGATGATTTTTCCTTTTTATTTTACTAATTTTCACTTAATTTAGGTAAACAAACTACAAATTTTCATAAATTGAATCTAAAAGAATTAAAGCCTATCTTTGTGAACAATTTTCTTTTTTTTTCGATAAATTTTAGTGCTAAAAATGTCTTAAAAATAAAAATTGAGAGACTAATGGGCAAAAACGAATAATAATTATCATTTAATCCATAACAATAATAATAATAATAAATAAAGCTAAATTAAAAATTTGGTATCTAAAATGCTGAAAATGTCTAAAAAGAAAATCATGAGATGAATAAGTAAAAATAGATAATGATTATCAATAAAAATAAAATAAAATAAAGATAAATTAAAATTTGGTGTCTACAAGACTTTGTGGTCTAAACTTGGCACTAAATTGTTATTTTCGACCGCTAGTCATCCCCAAAGTGATGGACAAACTGAGGTCGTCAATCGCACTCTTGAAATTTTGTTAAGGGCATTAATTAAGAAAAATCTTAAGTCTTGGGAAGAGTGTTTGCCGCATGTTGAGTTTGTTTATAACTGAACTGTTCACAGTGCAACACACTACTCACCATTTGAGGTTGTTTATGGGTTTAATCCACTGACTCCCCTTGACTTGGTACCCTTACCTTCCTCTGAGCATACAAGCTTAGATGGGAAAAAGAAAGCTGACTTTGTATGCAAGTTACATGAAGCTGTTCGAACAAACATTGAAAGGCGTACTTAGCAATACCTCCAGCAAGCTAACAAGCATTGTCGCAAGATGGTTTTTAAACCTGGAGATTGGGTCTGGCTGCACTTAAGGAAAGAAAGGTTACCTAAGCAAGGCCAGAGCAGGCGATGGACCGTTCCGAGTGCTTCAACGCGTCAACGACAATGCCTACAAGTTGGAGCTACCCAGGGAGAACAATGTTAGTGTGACTTTCAATGTCGTGGATTTGAGCCCGTTCCTTGATGAGAATGATCCAGATTTGAGGACAAATCCTTCTCAAGTGGAGGGGACTGATGTGTGCACGGATGGTAACCTTGACTCAAGGTCGAATGGTGGTGATCAAGTGAGAGTTCCACTTGGGCCGGTTACACGTGCACGGGCAAAGCGCTTCAAAGAGTCTCTTTAAGCCCTTATTCGAAGTGTTCAAGATCAACAAGGGGTCCATAGGAACATTGAAGGCTTGGACGTGGCTAATCAAGTTGTCTACACATTGATCCAAGCCAATGAGGCACCAAGTGCTGGCCACGCATGTGCTTAATGGAGTTGGCAGAATGTTAGCACCATTAGTTGTTAAGTTGTTAGTGGTTTGGTTGTTATCGAGCCATTAGTTTTAGTTGGCTTGTTAGTCACATTTTAATTAGTAGTTTCATTAGTTTTTGGAGTCCAATAATCGGCCCCACTCATGCTCAAGAGTGAACCGAATCCTCTTTCCTAGTTTAGTTAGAATTAGTAGTCAAACAATCCTTGTTCCAATCGGATTTGACATTGGTTGCTAGCCTATAAAAAGGCTTACCTTGTACGTACAAACGGTTACGAACTTTTGATAATAAACATTACTTTTGTTGACTCCCAAAACCGAGAGCAACCTTCTTACTTGCAAGGCAACGGTTTTTGAGCAATCTCGCGTGACATCCTTGGTTGTTCATCCAGCCTATCTACTTGGGTAATCACCTCAATTAGAGTCGATGTTCTACCACCTTCTATCAAGTTGAGTCATCCATCTTGGTTCTAGGTTCCGCAATCCAAACGATTGATCATCCGTCTAGATCCTTGGGCAATCGTGCTACGTGTCTCGGAACGAGTTGACCGAGAAGCGTATCACATTTGAAATGCACGTTCTTGAGCATCACCCCACACAAATTTCTCATTTTTCTTAATCATAGCAGTTAAAGGTGCAGCAATGGTACTAAAATCTTTGACAAACCATCTATAAAAGCTGGCAAGACCATGAAAGCTGCGTACCTCACCCACTGTGCTTGGAGTCGGCCATTCTCGAATGGCTTTGACTTTCTCCTCGTCCACCTTGATTCCCTGTTTACTCACAACAAAGCCTAGGAAGACAAGTTGATCAGTACAAAAGGAGCACTTCTTAAGGTTAGCGTAGAGCTTTTCCCTTCGAAGTACATCAAGAACAAGCTTTACATGCTCAACATGTTCATCTAGACTCTTACTATAAATCAAGATGTCATCAAAATACACAACTACAAGTTTCCTTAGAAATGGATGAAATACATGGTTAATCAATCTCATGAATGTACTAGGTCCATTAGTCAGGCCGAATGGCATAACTAACCACTCATACAAGCCATGTTTGGTTTAAAAGGCCGTTTTCCATTCATCTCCCTCTTTCATCCTAATTTGATGACAACTACTCTTTAAATTAATTTTTGTAAAAATCACAGTATCATATAGCTCATCTAACATATCATCAAGTCTAGGAATAGGGTGACGATATTTTACCATTATTGCATTGATGTCCCTACAGTCAGTGCACATTCGCCAACTTCCATCCTTTTTAGGCAACAAGATGATAGGAACCGCGCACGGATTCAAGCTTTCCCGCGCCCATTCTTTTGTTAAAAGTTCATCAATTTGGCGTTGTAGCTCCTTGGTTTCATCTGGTCCCATTTTGTAGGTTGGTTTGTTAGGGAATGAAGCGCCTGGAACCAAGTCGATTTGATGTTCAATTCCCCTAATTGGTGGTAATCCATTTGGAATCTCAGCGGGAAAAAGATCATCATATTCCTGCAAGAGAGAGACAATACTTGATGGTAAAGTGTTAGTAAGATCACTTGTAATAACCAACACCTCTTTGCACAAAAGTACAAAGACAGGTGTATTAATACTCAAAGCTTTTCTCACTACATTGGTTTTTATCATTAGGTTTTGCCTTCCCTCTTTGGCTGGCTCACCATTTTCCTTTTTTCTCTCAATTTTCTCGGCCCTTTCACTTTCTTTCAATCCCTCGGCTTTTTCTTTCTTTTTCTTCGCATTCTCGAGTTCACTCTCCTTTATCAAGCTTTCTTGATCTTCATGAACTTGGCTAGGAATTAGTGGTACAAGAACAATCCTCTTCTCACCTTGCTTGAAGAAGTATTTGTTTGTAATGCCATCGAATATAACTCCCTTGTCAAATTGCCACGGTCTCCCCAATAATATGTGGCATGCTTGCATTGGAACCACGTCGCATAGCACTACGTCCTCATACTTTCCAATTCGGAAACGTACTTGGACTTGCTTAGTGACACGAACATTCCCACTATCGTTCAACCATTGCAAACGATAAGGTGCTAGATGTCGTAGAGTTGGTAGTGCTTGTTTCTCCACCATTAAGGCACTAGCGACATTAGCACAACTACCTCCATCTATGATCAAGTTACACACTTTGTCTTTGATGTAGCAATGGGTGTAGAAAATATTCTCCCTTTGTGCATGATCGACGACCTTTACTTGGGTTGCTAAGGCTCATCTAACAATGAGTCCAACTCGCTCATTGACGGGCAAAACTTCCTCTTCTTCATTGAGTGATGGCATTTCCTCTTTCCCATCCTCATCATCGGCAAGAAACTCTCCATTTGGCAAAATGATCATAGTGCGTTGGTTCGGGCATTGACTTGCGATGTGCCCTCAGCCTTGGCACTTGAAACACTTGGTGTCTCGATTTCGTCCCACGCTCGACCCAATGGCAGTCCTTGGTGTTGCCTTAGACTCCTACTTAGTCACATCCGGCCTTGGTCTTGAGGGGGTGGAACTACTCGCCCCCTTGTCCTCCTTCTTTGGTGGTGTAGTTCGAGGATAAGTGGGTGAGAAGTTGGAGTAACTCCTAGGCTGACCCCTCCACTTTAATCTTCTCTCAATATTGATGGCTTTCTCGACCAAGTCTCCAAGCTCCACATAATGGTGTAGCTCTACTTGTTCAGCAATTTTGAGCCTTAGTCCGTTCAAGAAGCGCGTCATTGTCTGATGTGTGCACGGACCTTAGCCCAAGTAATGATCCAGTTCGAGTCCAATTGGGCCCAGTCACACGTGCACGGGCCAAACGCTTCAAAGAGTCCCTTCAATCTCTTGTGCAAAATGTTCAAGACCAACAAGGAGTCTATCGAGATATTGAAGGCTTGGAAGGTGATAATCAAGTTGTCTACATGAAGATCCAAGCCCACGAAGAGAACCCATGAAGGGTTGGTCGACTAGGCCCTAGGCCTTAGTGTTAGGTTCAATTGTTTAGAGTTGGATTAGATTAGTTTATTTGAGTTATGGGCTGGCCCACCTTGTCCAAGGAGTGGCCGACCTTCCTTTAGCTAGTTTCCTAGGGTTCCATTAGCCCCTTAGCCTATATAAAGGCTCACTTTGTACGGTTAACGGGTACACAATTTTCATAATAAAAATTCTGATTTGTTTCTCTTCAATTATTGAGAGCATTCGATCCTTTACTTGCTTTTGGCAAGGGTTCTTGAACAATCTCGCGAAGGTCCTTGATTGTTCTACCGACCTATCCATTAGAGTAACCACCTCTGTTGGAGTCGTCGTTCTACTACCCTTTAACCAATTCGTGTCGTCCGTTTTGGTTTTAGGTCCCGCAATCCAAGCGTTGGACACCCCCGCTAGATCATTGGACAAGCGTGCTACGTGTCTCGAAACGAGTTGATCGAGGACCGTATCAGTTGGCTTCAGAGCTTAGGTGGAGGTATCTTTCGTTATATCCTTGTTTTTCGTAGTTGTGTCATTGGGTTTGGTGTTATTTCCGCTGCATTCTATCAAAAAAAAATTTCTGCCCGTTGGATGTTATTGTTGCTTTAGCGTTGAAAATTCTGTCCGCCGTTTGTGTCCGTTGTTGCGTCAATTTCTGGTCGGTATTGTGTCTTGTTGTTTGAAGTAATTCGGTCCATTGAGTGTTGTCGTTCTTCACCAAATTTCTGTCCATTAGTTGAGTTAAATCTGGCCAACGTTGTTTTCCATCTTGTTTTGCAAAATCACTTGCTAAATTCTGCCCGAACTTGCTAGTGTTGTTGAGGCGTCGTGGTGAAATCAAATCTATCCATGCATGCGTCGTGTATTGCCTTGACAATCTGACCATATCTTGTGTCCAACTTCTGTCCAAAGCGTGTGTTGTGATTGTTAGTGCCAACTTGTCCGTGTTCAACAAGGGAACAACGAAACTTATAGTAGTGGCGGCTAGGGTTTTCACTTGCGCTAGAGTTTCTTGTTTCCAAATCTGTCCAAGTTGATTCTTGAGTCATCCAAGTTGTTTTCTTAATTTCCAAATCTGATTTGTGGTTAATTTAGTTGGTACTTGTGAATCGTGAAGGAAACCTATAAGGATTTAGGGTTTCTTGAATTTCTTGAAACCAATCTTGAAACTCTTGAAGCTCTTGAAAGTTTCTTGGAGAGTTCTTGCAAGAACTTGCTGATTTGAACGTTGCTTGTGGGGAAAATAGAGGGCTGACCAGAATCTGGTTTTGAACCTTTCGGCCAAGTGTTGTGACGTTGCTAAGTCAAAAAAAAAAAATAGAAACGAAAAAGAAAAGAGAAAAGACATTCGGGTGGCAAGAAAATAGAGCCATGAGATAAAGGGAAGTGAATCTTTATTGCCAAATCAGTTTCTTACATCTTGCTTCCAATCCAAAACAGAAAATCACACAAAGGGAAAAGCAAAGTGCTCAAAAGTTTTGACCTACCTCTTCTTGAGGTTCTTGATCACCTTGAGTCTTGGAAACTTGAACCACCTTTCGAACAATCTGGTCTTCTTGTGTCTTAGAGACTTGGACAACCCTTCAAATAAATATCTTTCTATACTCTCTTGCGGTGGTGAAGGGTTTCATTGGTTTGGAAGTAAAACTCTTGGGAAACTCTTGACCAGCCCGTTGGGGGGAAGCTTGAGTGACATTGCTTGTATCTTCTTGAGACGTCATCTCCTTACCTTGACAAGAAACCGAAATTGCCTTGTTCTTGAAAGAAGGGAGAGAAACCGAACAGCCTTGTGTCTTGGAAAAAAAATTGGAAGTCCAAAACTGATTTGTGCATGAAAGTGCGGCTATGAGGAAGGGTTTATAGGGTCCCAACCGACCTTGGTGAAGGAGTTTGGGGGAGGAGGAAATCTGAATTTTCGGTTGGAGGAGGGAGAAACCGAACCTGATTTGTAATTCTAGTAGGAAAGGAATTTGGAAGTTTCTAAAGTTGTTTAAGAAAAGAAAAAGGTTTTCTAAAGAGTTTCCAAAACTAACTTGTTTCCCAAAGTCAATTAGGAAACTAAGTAGACCACTTGGATAACTACTTTGTTTTCACTTGGATACTCTCCTACATTCCCTCCTACGTTTTAGGAATACTCTCCTACATTTTAGGAACCCACCCCTACACTTTAGGAAGCTAGGGTTTCTTTCTTTTGTGTTCACATTAGCGCCTCTTCCATTGCTGTTCCCCACCTTGCCTTTCCAAATTCGCCCATTTCCACTTCATTTTGCACCCACATTTGTGTCTTACCTTCTTGGTTACTCTCGTGGAAAAAGTTGGTGACAATTATTAGACTTGAGCGGCATTTCTCAACTACCTAATCCAACAGGTAAAGGTACTTGGTAAGTCCCCTAGAGTGCTTTTGAGTGATACACACGAGAGTGAGTGATACACTAAGGGAGTGAAGTGAGGATATACTTGCATTGTTCTTCTTGTTACTAACCTTTTGCAGGGCATAAAAAGGGACATGGAGCAAAATCAAACCAACCACAGACTACTCGTTGATGTTCACCGCCATGAAGAACGAGCTCAGGCAAATTAGTGAGCAACAAATGGAGGAGTTGCACACTCGCTTTGAGGAGCTATCCAAAAGTCTCACACAAGACTCTCGTTCTAGATCTCACAACCGGAGTAACCAAGGCACCAAAGAGGCCCATAGTGAAGACTACTCGGCTAGTGAGGATGATGAACAAGCCGAACGGCCTAGAAGGGACACGTCTAAGAACGAGCTCAAGGGACTTAAAATCCAAGTCCCCACGTTCAAAGGCAAAAGTGACCCTGAGGCGTACTTGGAGTGGGACGGCCGCATTGAGATGGTCTTCGACTGCTATGACTATAGCGAGGAACAAAAAGTGAAGGTCGCCACTGTTGAGTTCACCGACTACACCCTAATTTGGTGGGACCAAGTAAGGACCAATAGAATGAGAATGGGAGAACTGCGGGTCCGGACTTGGCGAGAACTCAAGGCATTGATGCGAAAGAGATTTGTTCCGAGCTACTACAATTGCGATCTCTACTCTAAACTTCAAACCCTCACTCAAGGCAACATGAGTGTGGAAGATTACTACAAGGAGATCGAAATGGCCATGATGAGGGCCAAGATTCAAGAGGACAATGAGGCCACCATGGCAAGGTTCCTTAGAGGGCTCAACCCTGACCTCCAAGAGGCGTTGGAATTCCAACATTACTTGGACATGCATGACCTTCTGGAGCTAGCCATCAAGGCCGAGAGGGGAAAGAAACTGAGGCGAGGGGCCCGTACCTTCCCAACTTCCAACTCGACTTCATGGAGGGGCAACCAATCACGGAGGGCGACCTACGAAGCTGGAAATTCGACTACACCAACTTCATCTAGCCGAGCTCAAGGTAATGCTCCTAACCGAAATTTCACTTTTACCCCTAACAAAGTTGTTGATGTATCCAGGTCCACTTCTAAGGCACCAAATGAGACTCCTAAGGCTAGGAGTAGGGATATCAAGTGCTTCAAATGCCAAGGGTTTGGACATATTCAGTCTCAATGTCCAAACCAAAGAGTCATGTTAGTTACTCACAACGGCGAAATCGTGTCCGATGAAGACGATTGTGAGGAACTACCTGGATTGGACAAGAGTGATTGCTTGGAGGATGACTCGGCTGAGGAAGAATGTTCTCCTACTCAAGGGGAAATCGGGTGTTTGGTGGCTCGACGCGTGCTAACCCGCCCGAGTCAAAGAGGACGAGCAATTGCAAAGGGAAAACTTATTTTACACTCATTGTAAAGTAAGTGAAAAAGTGTGCAGTCTCATCATCAATGGTGGGAGTTCCACCAATGTGGCAAATTTACTAATGGTTGAGAGCTTGGGCCTTCCTACCACTAGACATCCATATCCATACCGCCCCAATGGCTAAGTAAAGAAGGTGAGGTACGTGTCTACAAACAGGTACGTGTTCCTTTCTTAATTGGCAACTATATTGATGAAGTTGTGTGTGATGTTGTACCTATTCATGCGACACATGTCATTCTAGGAAGACCTTGGCAGTTTGATAAACATGTCACATTTGATGGTAGGGCAAACAAGTACACTCTTTTGCACAATGGTAAGCGCATGGTCCTAACACCACTC